AGTTTACTAAGTGTAGCAGCGTCTGGTGGTCTTTCCTTACTATATGGGAGCGAGGTACAACATAGTAAAAAAAGGAAAATGTTACAACGAAAATTTCGGCTCCTCGTAAACTGCATCGTTCTTTTCCAGTTGTCCTGGAAAAGAAAAAAGAAAGTGTAAGTGCATGTCGAAATACATTCGTATTTGCATAAAAACACAATGTCGGCGAAAAAATGGAAAATATACTCAAGCACACAATAGCGTTAAAAAAATGTTTTTTGTGTTTTGTTTTTTTTAAATAAAAACATAAATATATAGGCATATTAAAATTGTTTTTTTTAATATTATATATCGTAAAAAGGAAAATCGAGATAATATAAAATGTCTAGTAGTGCCTTACGTGCAGTAGTCGTTTAAATGTTCTGGAAATCTTACTCTTCTTCCAGAACGCGTCGTTTCAAGTTTATTTTCAGATACATTCGGAGTATCATCGCGTGCGTTGGTTGTCGGTTGAGTAATTATGGGTGGAGTCGTGTCGTTCGATTGTACCGAAGGAAAGTCGACGTGAATAGGGTTTCCTTCTAAATACGCTGCTTTTAAGCGATCGATGCTGATGCTATCGTTGGTTCCGTTCTTGTCGACTATATAGTACTTAGATTCACGTTGAAGAACTTTGAAGGGTCCTTCGTATGCTGATTCGAATGGTCGTTGATGCGAGTCTCGACGAACGAAAACGTGTGTACTATATCGTAAGTCAGGTTGAACGAAAACATCAGTCGATTGAGGTCGAGTGGAAGCAGGTTTAACTGAACGCATTGCGTTTGTAAGCCTGTTCGTGTAGGAGGTTAGATCCATGTTCATTGAAGAGGATGAAGGATCCACGAATTCTCCTGGAAGTCAAAGTGTCGTTCCTTAAACGAGTTGAGCCGCAGTGTATCCAATGCCAGCTTTCACTGCATTGCGGAAACCTGGTAAGACGAGTGAAAGAGCGTCCGTCCATTGTGAAACGTTTGCAGCTGATAGTGAAGCTTTTAGTTGTCGGTGAAAACGTTCTACCAACCCGTTTGCTTGTGGATGGTAGGCGGTCGTTCGGAATCGAGTGATTCCTAAAAGTGTGGTCAGACGACTGAAAAGTTCAGATTCAAACTGACGTCCGCGGTCTGTGGTGACGGTTGAAGGGCAGCCGAAGTTTGCTACCCATCGTTCGACGAAGGTGCGGGCTACTGTTTCAGCAGTGATGTCCTTGATAGGTACTGCTTCTGGCCATCGAGTGAAACGGTCTACACAGGTTAAGAGGTGAGAGTATCCATTTGAATCTGGTAAAGGTCCTACCAAATCCAGATGAACATGGTCGAAACGAGCATCGGGAGTTTTGAAAGAGCCTAAGGGACATTTATTGTGTCTGATAACCTTAGCATTTTGGCAGCTTACACAGGAGCATGCCCACTCTCTCACGTCTTTATTCATGCCAGGCCAGCAAAACCGTTCTGCTATGAGCTTGATGGTTGCACGAACACCTGGATGCGAAAGTTTGTGCAATGTGTTGAAGACATTGCGTCGATAATGTTTCGGCACGATTGGGCGATCCCTACCTGTGGATGTGTCACAAAGCAAGGTTTCCTTACCTGTTCCCATCTGTTTGATGCTTAGTTTAAGGGTTGTGGACGATAACTCATGCAGAAGATCAGTGTCTTCTTTTTGAAACTCGGCGAGTTTAAGAAGGTCGATTCCTTGGAAACTGTTCAAGGAAGTTATGCGAGATAAGGCGTCTGCGACTACATTGTTTGCTCCAGAGATGTGTTTAATATCTGAAGTAAACTGCAAAATGTAGTCCTGTTGTCGAGACTCACTGGGAGAGTACTTGTCTGAAGGAGAGCTTAACGAAAAAGTGAGCGGTTTATGGTCCGTGAAAAGAGTGAATTCACGACCTTCGATATAGTGTTGGAAATGCCGTACAGCACAATACATAGCTAGGAGTTCCCTACCGAATGTGCTGTACCTTGATTCGGTGTCTAGCAACCTTCTAGAAGAAAATGCCAAGGGTTGCCAGGAGTTGTTAACCCATTGTTGTAAGACGCCACCGATTGCCGAGTCCGACGCGTCTACTAAGATATTAATGGGTGCTTCGGTGTCCTGATGTGCGAGTATCGTTGCATTAGCGATGAGTTCCTTAACTGTGGAGAATGCTTTACGTGCAGTGTCGTCCAAATTAATGGATTTCGCATTTCCACGAAGTTGGTCGGTTAGCGGTTTCATGAGTAATGCGCATTTCGGTATGAAACGTCTATAGAAACTTACCAGGCCGTTAAACGTGCGTAATTGCTTGACGGTGGTCGGTTCTGGGTAATCCAGAATGGCCGCCACTTTGGTCCTAAGAGGTCGAATGCCTTGAGCATCGATAGTGTGTCCCAGAAAGTCTAATGAGTCGGTTCCGAACTGGCATTTCTGAACGTTTACAGTAATGCCATGTTTTTGTAGTCGTTCGAAAACAAGATCCAGATGCTTGAGATGTGTTTCTCTGTCCGAACTTGCGATTAAGCAGTCATCGACATACGCATGTACGAAGTTGAGACCTCGAAAAACGTCGTCTATGAATTTTTGGAATGTTTGAGCAGCATTTCTTAGACCGAAAGGCATTCGCAAAATTTCATAGAGCCCGAAGGGAGTTATGATAGCTGTTTTCGGTATGTCGTCAGTAGCCATAGGGATTTGGTTATACGCTTTAACCAAGTCGATTTTCGAAAAGACAGTTGTACCTTTCAAGGTAGCTGTCAAATTGTGAATGTGAGGCAACGGGTAACGATCGGGAATGGTTTTCGCGTTCAATCGCCGATAGTCACTAGTTGGACGCCAATCGTTGCTGTTCCTTTTAGGGACCATGTGCAACGGAGATGCATATGGGCCATTTGACGATCGTATGATTCCTAAGTCTATCATATGGTCGAACTCGTTTTTCGCTAACCTAAGCATTTCGGGAGCTAGTCGTCGTGCTTTAGAAAATACAGTCGGTCCTGTAGTCATGATGTGATGTGTAACGTTGCTGGTTACACACGGTAGTTTCGCCTTCGTTTGTTGTATCCCAGGGTACTTATCGAGTAGTGGTTGATAGAGTGGGTCTATCATATGCTTAATTGTGACTGGGAATAATCTGCAACCAGTAAAAGAAGTTACGCAAACGGATAAATTAGTGTTTCTGTCTACTAGCCTCCGTTTGCGCGTATCGATGATAAGATTCCGATGTTGTAGAAGGTCCATACCACTGATTGGCATAGAAACATCTGCAACAACGAAGATCCAGTGAATGGGTTTGCGTAAACCCACGTTAAGGTAAACGTACCTTTTGCCATGCGTAGCGATCGGTTTTCCGTTTGCCGCCTGTAAGTTTAGGGTCGATTCGTGTAGTCGGTCGTTAGGATTTGCTGGGAGAACGCTAACTTCTGCGCCAGTGTCGACGAGGTAGCGAACTCTCGTGACGAATAACAGACGGCTTTGTTCGCCGGCTACGGTTGCCGTTAACGCGTGCCGGCTTGGAAGTTTCCCGAATTGTTTTTCGAATCAGTCGGTTTCGTGTTGGGAAAATTGCAGGGTTTTCTGCAATTTCTGGAAAACTTTCCATACTGGTTATGATACCAGCACCAGTCGGGGTTTTCCGTCTCTCGTGGTCTAGAGACAGATCGCTTACGTGAAATGCTTCTACGTGGTGTGCGCGATCTCTTACGGTCGGTACGAAGACTAAGATAACGCGTGAGTGTGTGACATAAGTCGGTTATATCATTCTGAGTCGTTTGAGATTTTTCTTTGACTGAAAATACCTCGGTAGTAGATTTCGTAATTTCTAAAATGCGGTCGGCAGATGCAACTAGGTCGTCTAAGGCGTTGTTCTGAAACGAGACCAGAACTGCCTGCACCTGTTGTGGAAGTTTTGACAAGAAGAGTTGTTTGAATAGACCTTCGTCGAAAGTTCTTGGGCCTATTATCTCTCTCATTCTTTGCAACATGTCTGTCGCAGGTCTATGTTATTAAAGAGTTGATCTAACGTTTGTCGATCGGTTAGGTCACCTCGTTTAAGAATCGAACATTTTAAGGTTTCGCGAGGTTCAGAAACATCACTAGTAAACATACTAGGTGTTACGTACCTGTTGAATTCTCGCGGTAGCGCCTTCACTACTGCGAGGAATTGTGCACGTGTGTCGTTCACGCCGTGCTCGGAGAAGTCGGCTTCTGCGTAGCAAAACCAGGCTTTGATGTTGTCGGGCCAGAAAGGCATGAGTTGAAACGAAGGCGGGGACAAAGTCTTAAGCTTGAGTACTTTGAGTGTCTGTTCAGTCATGATGAAATATGAAGTACGATAATGAACGGGGAGAAAATATATATATATATCCAAGAAAAAACACGAAAAAAATCACAATGTTTAAAAAATAAAAAATAAGTCAATTATATATAAAAATCCCAAAATGGAACAGACTCGCAGTTGCAATTAGGTGTACCAGATCACGTTGGTCTCACCAATGAAGATGACACAGGTATTCAGTGTTTGACAACGCTTCTATCAGTAACACCTTCTAATGTATTTCGTTCCCACCCAGAGAAATCAAAAGACAGAGTCGAGGAGATCGAAAGAGTATATTTGGCGATAACCAATATATCGGAATTCTCTGATCTAATCTGGCTAGCGATTGCAGTAGCAGTTGAGCACGGCGTTACCACACGTGATCTGGTGCGGATGCCTGACCGAGCGCCTTCAGCTAGATGAGTCCACTAAAACATATGGTCAGCATCCAATGTCGAAAACTTAGCGCCATTTATTTTGGGAATTTATTTACCGCTACAGGCGCTTCCGATCGAACTTTATGTTTTCCTAATGATAAAGACAGTTTTAAACGAACCAAATTGATTGTGTTGAAAAATAGATTGTAAGCTGTTTGTATTAAGAAAAAATAGTAATTGCTTTATCAAACTGACTTCTTTTAATTTTGTGACTTCATATTTGTTCGTCTTCTTCTTTTATCTCTTTGCCATTTGATGGCGGGTGACTCAGCCGATCAAGGTCAGGGCGACGCACAGCTGATCCAGGAGGTTGAGTGTCTGAAAAGAAAGCTTGAGGACGAGCGCAATAAGCTTTCTGATGAAGACCGTTAGTTGTTTAAAAGTCTTATTCTGTAGTTGTCACAGCTAGTCAGCACCTAGATGCAGTGCCATCTTTAAACATTCGGTTACGACGAGTACTTAAAGGTCATCAGGGTAAAGTATTGAGTCTCTCGTGGTCTTTAGATAAACGGCACATAGTAAGCTCTTCACAGGTAATGTTTGGATTCTTTCTATAATTGCTTAGGATGGGAAAATTCTAGTTTGGGATGGTTTCACTACATCTAAAGTATCGGTCATATCGAGATTTTTACTCAACAAAATTTGTAGGAATACTCTATATCAATGCCTACCACCTGGTTAATGTCATGTGCATACAGTCCTTCCGGAGGCTTCATCGCCTGTGGGTTAGTTAAAGTTGTTATCATAGCCAGTTACTAATCTGTATTTATTTTTAGTGGGCTTGACAATAAATGCACTGTTTACCCACTTCTTTCGGAGGAGGACCCCATCCTTAAGAAAAAGCTTGTAGCAACGCATACTTCATACTTATCCTGCTGTTTATTCAACATATCTGATCACCAGCTGCTTACAGGGAGTGGAGATAGTTCATGTGTCTTATGGGATGTTGAATATGCACAAATAATACAAAGTTTCTATGGTCATTCTGCGGACGTGCTGAGCATTGCACTATCACCATCAGAATTTGGAAAAACATTTGTTTCTGGGGTAGGCGATTGTTTCTTTTTGTTCATAATTTTCTAGGGATGTGACAGATGTGCTAACGTCTGGGATATGCGCACTGGACAATGTGTTCAGGTATTCCAAGGTCATGACTCTGATATCAACAGTGTCAGGTTTTTCCCTAGCGGTGATGCGTTTGCCACAGGCTCAGATGATGCAACCATCAGATTATTTGATCTGCGCGCTGACCGTGAAGTTTGTGTATACAAAAAGGATAGTGTCATTTTCCCATGCAATGCAGTTGACTTCTCTCTAAGTGGTGAGTTCAGATGTGCATAAAATTTTGTGCGAACGCCTTCAGTCACTATTTTGTAAATAAGAACAATTGGGGTGAATGATGTGATCTGATGTATATATAACGCACGGTGGTTGGTATCGGAAAAAATATTTGCTCAAAGTATGACTGTTAGACCTTAATGATTTTCAGCAACGTATTGTATTTTATAATTGCCCTTTTAACCAGATCAGGATAAACTTTTGCGACAGTTTGTTCAACATTTACACGAATCAATATTTTTGTAGTAAGTTCTTGGCACTAAATCAAAAGGACGTAAATTTTAATCAATGCCGTGCCACCAATAAGAAATGAATTTCCTTCTACAACCAAATGCAATACAGGATTCTAACCCGTATTACTTCCTATGCAGCTTTTTAAAAAGTATCACTTTGTTAGTCTAAAATTGATTGTCTTAGTCCCAATTGATTCTCAGAAGTTCAACGTTTCATTTTTACATGTTACCCCTCCTTTCCTCGTGCTTCCATTTTTTCGATTATTTTCTGACTAAAATGGAGTTGAAAACTCTGTTATCATAAGTAGTGACCATACGTAAGAAGCCAGATTTATACGGAAAAGACATGCCCATATTTTACTCATGACGCTGGCTAGTTTGTTATCGAGCTTTGTCATCTATTTCCCTCACCCCATAAGTCCTGATATAGAATTAAGTTAACCATACGAGTCAATCAGTCATTATGAACATACAAAGTGGCATAATTGTGTCTTGGTTCACGTTGCTGTAAAAAGTTACTGTACTATAGACTATAAGTTCTATAAAACAGTTTGAAACACCAGCTATTGAAATCAAACTTCCCACATTACTCCTAAACTGAGCAATTTAAAAACACCCTGCATTTTACGCTTTATACGTTTTCAAAACGTATTTTTCAGTCAATAAGAAGAGACCAACATTTCTCGAATATCAGCAAGAAAAGGACTAAACCTTTCAGGTTGGCAGGTAAATGGAACTTCTAATTAGCTAAATAGTGTTTGTTTCAGATCACTTACGACCGTAGATTTGCTAGTCCGATCCTTGCTGTACTTCGTTCTTCACCGCCAGCATTCTTAACACATACAAATATCAAATTTCTAGAAGCAGCATTCATTAATCTCTCGTCGTGCTTCAGGTACAAAGATTTAAGTTCACTTAGTGTCCAGTCAGTTTGAAATATTTATGTATTATGTTGATTTGGTAGCTGTATTAGGCAAAGCTCCTAATGATTAGATGAATAGTGACTTTAAATATTTGTTCATGTATTGTAATTGAAAAAAGTAATCACTCATTAGTGCAATAACAACATTTATTTTGTGTATCGGAATTACTTGGTTATGAACACTATCACTTAACTGCGATGTACCATAGAACAATTCATATCAGGTTTCTGAACTCTATCACAGTATGACTAGGATACTTGGCACTCACTTTACTTATTATAATACTCTATGTTTTCGAGAAAGCTTAAGGAAAGAGAATCGTCTAAGGTCTTTTGAATGCTGGTTATTGTGGGACTGATAAGAATGTCAAGAAATATCGATCCATACTCTATATGGTTAAATACCGATCAAAATATCTCAGTTACATGGTCTTTCTATATGGCCCTCAAAAAATTTGGACTCGTCTTCCTCCTTTTTGATGTTTTTCATACATATTTATGACTTGGTTTCTGTGGTTGACATCTTTATGTTCTGCATCAGTGTATAGTTGTCAATATACATGTCATAATCTCGTATACATACTTTCCCATTTCGTTAATATCTAAAAATGTTTTACATCCTGGTTAAAAATCTAAAATGCCTAGGTGTTTCATGCCCAAACTCATGCACTTGTGCCCTCTTCCGTAGTTTGACTATAAGTGGTGATAGTTAACGTGTAGATTACTTAAAGTACATGTGTGATTGTACTAGTCTTACTTATGATAAATACAAATCAGTAACGGGATTATTTCGATATGTTAGCTGAGGGAAAAAGTTAAACTACTTCAGTGTGTGGAAATTCGCGCTTTTAAAGATGTAGTTGGGCTATTTTCTTACCCGAAGTAGGAAGAGTTTATGGTTTATGGCAACTTGATCATCAATATGAAGCAATCTAACTTCTCACAGTATGGTTTCTAAAAGGAAGGGATTGAGCTAAAAAATATCTAGATATGTTTTTTTATAACCTCCGAAATGAACTTGCTAACTCAATAAAAGTTGTATGTATATAAGTCTGGTAGAGTTTCTTAAGCAGTGTTTGATAAGTCCTGCTACCGATACGCCTAACAAATTCTGGTGGAAAACCTACTTTTTCTTAGTTTATGGTATTCGGCTGAGTCTAACACAGAATCACAGTTTTGTCGTTCACAATAATATCGTCAACTACTTTCGTACTGAAAGCATTCAAATACTTTCAAACTTTTAAAAATAATTTTTTCTTTAATTTTCCATCTAGTAATTTCATCTTAGTTTAAAATATTCTAAGTCTCCTATATCTATTTTTCATATATATTTAAACCGTTATGCTAATCTACACACCTCGTTAACTATATTGACATGAATTCGTACATTGTGACTGATTTTTAAACTTGACTGACGCTTTCGATTGATGTTTTACGTCAAACGTGCCTGAGGCATTTGTTATGACACTTATAGCCTTTTTCTCTCAGTTGTATAATTTTCAGCTATAGTATTTGGTTTTGCTTTATGGTTCATACTTTATGAGTTAGGTTCGTGCGCACGCCTATTCTTATAGCGTGTTCTTTCCATATAACTGTAACGCTTATACATAATGAAATGTCTTGCTAATTACCAAAAATAAGCGCTGAAAACCTTTAGAAATTCGAGAATAACATGCTACCCTTAGCTATTTGAATACCATTTCAATGAACTCGTGCAACTAGTCAATCACTTTGATTTTTGTTTCAGGTCGCCTATTGTTTGGTGGTTATAGTGATCATGCTGTGAATATCTGGGATGTACTCAAAGGTCAACGTATTAGTATTCTGTATTGTCATGAAAATCGTATTTCAGCCTTACGTGTCAGCCCAGATGGAACAGCTATATGTACTGGGAGTTGGGACACAACTTTACGGGTGATTACTTTTTAAAATTTTCTTTTACGGATACTGTTGTTTAAAATAGCTGAAAAATGAGTTTTCGAGGGACTTCTGCTTTGTAACTCATGTCTTCTACCTTCAACTCCTAATCCGTAGATTCAGTGTGCTACAATTTTACTTAGGAACCAGATGTTCTAATCAAAAATGCTGCAACTCGCTAGCTAATATTCCGGCTGAACCACTGTCACTTGCGTTTGTTTCCTCTGATCTAATGTTTAATTACAGAATATGACTTGTGGATGGTCTCCGTCTAGAAAGTCTGCTCCTACAGAAGTGACTCATATTAGCTTCGCATCATGGTTCTTGATTTAGTGTTGACATTGGATGTTGCCGAAATACAACTGGTCGAGTGGAAACTAACGTTTTACATCTATCACTCATAAGTGATACGATTCACAATCACAACAAGAATAATGATCATTCCTGTACTTGTGCGTTTGGTGGAGTAATTGATGTATGTTGTCTATCATCTCGTAAGCATCGAAGAATCCTCTGGTAATTAGAGAGTGATAATGAATAGTATTATCCTTGTACATCTTGCAGTTGACTAGTTTATACATTAGATCCTCTTTGAGCACAGTCATACTACGACAAGTTATACCTAAGTGTAATTATTCCCCCAAAAATTATGTATGCGAACTAAGGGGTCGCTATTAGGTTTATAAATATTAACGATATGTTTGTCAGTTACCAAGTGAAATATAATGTTAATAATGACGAAATGGGACTTTAAATTTATTGTAATAGTTTGTTTTTAATTATGTTACTTGATACCGCGTGTTGAAATACAACTAAGTTGACTTCTTTAAATAGCACTCAGTGTTATTTGTTTTGTGCCATTTTGGTAGAACAGATATTTTATGCAGTTATTGTTCCGTGGAGTTAAAATAATATACATACAGGGTATTTAGTTGGTCCATAAGAATAGCTTCGTGTATAATTCAATAATGGACTGTTAAAACTAGAATAAGCAACATCAAAATTGAATGTAAATATTGGTTTAAAAGCTACAGTTTAAAGTATATTCTTGATAATGAGGTACCGAATAAGTCTTACAATACTCTTTGAAAATGCAATCCTAAAATATTCACCTTGAAGATGAAGAACGGGCCACTTCAGATTTCTTAACCATATATCATAAGTTTGGCTAGCTGATTGAATCATCCTTTTGCGCTTTTTGTTCACAACAAATACTTTAAACAATGATTAATTATTAGCAATCGAAAATTCAAACAAACTGTAATAATGGATTTTTGAAGAGACAAATTACGAAGATGAAGTAAGACTGTATTTCACTCAGTGTTATATTCCTTATTTTGTAATGCTTGCTTTCGTTCTGTCTGATGAATTCGTCCACACTTACTATTATTGGAATAATATATTAATGTTGGCGCATAATTGTCGATTCACATTGTATTAACTTCATTTTTCTATGTAAGTTAATATTTTAAAAAAATCGAATTTTCCATCCACAATATTCACATATGATTTAGGCTATGAACCACACCTACTATAGGCTATAAGGGAGTTAACAATAATCTTTGAATAAACTGTGCCTAAGCTTAAAATAATTTAAGTATTCGCCTCTTTTTACTAATTGTCATACTAACACATCCCTAACATTTAACTATAAATTCATATTTTACAGATTTGGGCGTAAAAATTTCTTTGTTTATTTTACGGGAAAAATAAATTTCATGAATATATGAACTCGTTTTATAATATACATTCGTGTTACCTGACATTTTAAAATATTGACTTACTTTATTCTTGCATTTATTAGAGTAAACACGAATCTTTATTTATTTCAAGTATTTTCCTTTTATTATTTGTTCACACTTTTAAGAGCTCTCTACGTGTGATAATTTACTTATTTTATGCGTATTATTTCTTCTGTGTATATATTTTATTTAACTTTATTATTATTATTATTATTATTATTATTATTATTATTATTATTATTATTATTATTACTAGTTCTCTGTGTTTATTAGATAAACTTACCATATTATGTAATGCATAAATTTGTTAAAAAGCAGCATGTTTTTTTTTTGTGGAGATATACTATAATTATGAATAGTTGAAATTTGCTTTTTTAGAATGGGACATTCAATAGTTTGGGCGTCTATGTGTTAATCCACATGAAATTTTTTGTTTTCACTTTTATTATTGTTTTTCTTGGTATCACTGTGATCAAGCACGTTATTGTTTTAATGTATTTAATACTAATAATTGACAAACCATGTTTTACCCATACTATTGTTTAATTCATTATTTGTGATTTTACTGTTTCAATGTTGAGTTTTAATTCTTGTTCTAAAATACGGTAACAGGCATTGATAAATATATATCAGTTACGACTATCAAAGATAGATTATTGAAACCATATTTTGATCTCCTGTGGGAATGAATAGTATAATAAATAAATGATTTCCGAGTACTGTGGTAATATAAAAATATGGTTTGGGAATATATGAACTCCCTTAAGAACTTATATTGATTAGTGTTATTTGTTGAATGATGTTTAAAAAAATCGTTATTTGTAATTTTACCAAGTTAGTAATTCAACTACCAGTCGTACGATTCATTGTTATTTCATTTCCACCGAATTAAACTTCTAGTATCCTCTGATTGCAATTTCACTGAATGTTGACTTAACAGTCGCCATATACTTTGGACAACCAACAATTTGTTTTTCCTACTACTTACGACATTATATATATAGGAAGAGATCAATTCTCTGTAATGTTTTTCTATTCCTCTAGTTTTATGTACCAAGTTTACTTATTGTAGTGATATGACTGATTCTATGCACCTAGTCTGTGTAATTTACATGACCTAATTGTAGTCACATGAAATTTCAATGATTCAAATACTTTTTCCGTGTTAACATAATTATACTTACCCTGGTAATTGTTCACATGAATTCCCAGTAGCTGGTCAGTGGTACTCACTGCCTTTTCGCGGCAGTGATGCGGTTGACGAAATTGAGAGGATAAAAAGCGAATATCCAGCGCTTTAAGCGGGTTTGCTGTCCCTTCAAATGTAAGTCAGAAAAGTTATTAGTGACTTACTTAATGGAGTGATCAGGAAGAAATCAGAATACTGATTAGCGTATTTTTCTCGGACAAAGGGCTCAGTATTTGTTGAATTTTAATCCGGTATTTTTACTCAGATACCTGAAAAGCTGCAGATAATTTTGGTGTATTAGAATTCGTATACAGATCTCATCATGAAAACTGGTTTGATAGGTTTATAGACTGCAGAAGTTTGGAGGATCTTTATTCACTTTATACACAGACCGTTGGTTTACTATTATCCTACTTATTAAGTTTCCCCTTCACTCGATATCAATTTTATGAAACTTTTAGTTGTGATCAGGTGTTCTGAAGTGATTTTGCACTTAACGTGAGCATTTCAGTTGTAAAAAGTTGTTCTGTCCTTAAAGCTCAAAAACGATTACTATGTGCTTCACTTTAAATCCTTAAACCTATTCTTATTCGGGTCAATCTATGTCCAACCTCATCCAGCACCTTAGCTATAACTTTTATATTAATGGTCGGATGATTTTTTACAATGAAGTGTAGTGAGATGAGTGAAAAGACTGAATATGAAACAGATCATCGACCCCTGTCAAAATCAAGGACAACCAACGCGCATCAGTTAATCGTATATTATGGACGGGCCTATGCGTTGGTGGTCCCACTATCTTCTCTGTACTCACTCTTACATGTACATTACGTTGGCCCATTACACTTATTTTCATGAACTTTCAACATGAAAACATTACTTCACAGTGTCTTCGTTCCCTTTTGCCATCATTTTGTGTAATCTTGTTCCGACGGTTAAAATAATTAATGTACATTGGTATTCGCTTTCACCATATCTGTTGGCAAAAGTTTTCGATTTTTGCAATATGTAATTAGTGCTCTTTGGAATAATACTACGTGACAACTCACTAAGTATTTAACTTTAATTCGCCATTCAACGTATGACTAACCGAATGCCCATATGTATTGACGAAGAATAACCCGACAAGTAGTAAAGAAGAAATTATTGATTACGACTGGGGCAAACAGTACGGTGATGAACAGTCTAAGGGTATACTGTAGAATCCATTTTAACTTTACTGTGAATATATGTGTAACAATACATCTATTCATGTTTTTCCTCATGATCATCACATTGTTCTTTCTTAAAATGTATTGTTTCCTGTATGTATACATATTTCGTCTCGTTTCTGTTACATCTGAGCGAAAATAAATTAACTATAAACACAGCCACTTTCTGCTTGATTTTGCCTATATGTTTTCTTTTTCATGGTGTGGTGTGGTTTGATTTTACTTATATGTAAATGAAGTGTCTAAAATATGTAATTCGTATCGCGAAGGCTGAGATCGGCATTCTGAACTTAACTGGCAGGGCTGGTCGTACTGTTGTATGCGTCGTTAGCTTGGTCGCATATGTAACTTAATTGACAATCGTATTTGGCGCTAATCGCATAAGTAAAAGGACATAACAGCTTCACATCTGTTCCACAAAGAATTCTGAACTAAGGACGTTGCCAATCGAAATTTTTATTAACTGATTTTGTTCGATTTATTCATGATGTGAGACATATTCAGTTTTTCAATGACAAGAAGGAATAATGTTTCGAATAGTAATAATCGAACTGGGAGCTATTTACTTAGTGATATTTCAGCGATTTTTGGGTGAATAAACTGGCAATGTGATGTAATTAGCTTAATCTTATCACTTGTCAAGTTCTTATTATGTGTTCCTAATGTTTAGTCTCTAGTTTATACCTCAATGTTTGTTGGTCTAAACGTGGTAGCGCCTGCTGGAGAAAAAAGTTTTCAAATGAAGTCTGTCTCGTTCGAAATTATACTCATCCATCCATAAACACTAGTTCATACTCCCTTGTGTAGGTTGGGATTTTAATTGTTACTTTTCACGACGCTCATCTAAGACGCATTTTGGACAATTCTCTGATCCAGATCCAGCTGCGTTACCACTATTTAGGACTTTACGGTTGCCGATTCTGCGACAATTTAAGATGATAAACAGAGTATGCTCTTAATTAACATGGCTCACGAACATTCTGTTCTATTTCTTGTCATTCTGCTGAAGTAAGTGTATCAACTGAAGACATACAGATATTAAATATTATCAATAAGCGATCAATAATGATAAAATTGTGAATTCATTGACAAGCTCTGAAAGCACCCTTATTTCTGATGTGCTTTTCAAGATCATGGTTAATATGACTATAAAATTGTCATACTATTATGTACGGCAGAATATCTTTCGTAGAGACATTTTCAAAGTGTTTATTGAATGAGTCAGCTGAATTCGACATACTTTACTAAGGCATGGCCTAAGTTGATCTCATAAGCTTCAAAAAGAGTTTTTACGATAGCTGCCTATAACCGACTGTAATGAGCATAAAAATCTACCGCAATGGCGTAGGTTAGAGGAAAAGGAAACATAATGTAGCGGTAAGTAAATCCCCAAAATAAATAGCCCTGTAAGTTTTCGATATTGGATGCTGACCATGTGTTTTATTGGACTCATCTAGCTGAAGGCGCTCGGTCAGGCATCCGCACCAGATCACGTGTGGTAACGCCGTGCTCAACTGCTACTGCAATCGCTAGCCAGATTAGATCAGAGAATTCCGATATATTGGTTATCGCCAAATATACTCTTCCGATCTCCTCGTCTCTGTCTTTTGATTTCTCTCGGTGGGTACAAATTATATTGGAAGGTGTTGCTGGTGAAAGCGTTGTCAAACACTGAATACCTGTGTCATCTTTAATAATTTTGAGATGGTGACGTTAGCGACGGGTTTTACGATAACCCATGTCTCCAACGTCTAAAACAAAAGACGGAAAAGATAAAGGCGTTCAGTGATAGTGATTTACAAATTGTCGACAAAGTGTATGGAATTGTTAGTTGTATTTATGTGTGCACAGAGTTCGTTTGGGCTTTACAAAAACTATAATGATAACAATTCATAGTTAATAACGCTTATTCACTTATTCAGTGCACTTTCGACTACAATGAACATTCTATCCGATTGTAATTTTAAGTTTCAAGCCAACATTCGACACAATTCCGCACCTTGTTACACATCACAATTGACTGTACTTTATCATGGTATTCTCTCATATAAAGATTTTAAATGTGGTGCATTCTAGATCTAGAGGCTAATATGAGTTTTTTCAACTAATTTACCATGCATTTGTCTGTTTGGTTATAAATCATTAAAGTTTGTTGACGGTTTATATCCAAATACATCGCTGCTACTTTATTTCTCTGTTTTTTCATCATAACATGCACTGCGCATAGATATGATGCTCTTTCTTACGCCTGGAAGAAACTTGAAGCAACCTTACTTAAGCGGTCTGAAAGGTCACAGATCTTTTGAACAGTTATTTTATAACAACATAAATAAAACTAGTGCACTGGATTTGCACTTATCTACAGCTTGAAACGAATCGCATGAGTTACGGTCATTAACTCTACGACTGACCGATATCATTAGAAGCAAAGTAATGGAACAAAATGTCGTCTGCTACCATATAATTTTGTAAAAGTAGGGTAGAAACACTAGCAGTTTGGTGGTGAATAATGACTCATGCCACCAACCGTCATGCTGGTATCTTTTAACCCTGACAAAGTGAAGGGAAAATACTGAGCTGTCTAACGCCGCGCAATTTCTAGTAAGGGTGACTTACAGAAAGTGTCGTGCCACATACAACACTTGTCTTGCTGATATCAATAAACTCCACTCATAGAATTGACAGTCGTTAAGTGTTAGCTCCGATAGATTGTGGTAAACTTACACGGAAATTCGTAGATTGTAAGTAACCACGTTCGAATCGAATGGTGTTTGATGACTAACGTAGAATACAGTGGAAAATCTTCGATAACAGAGTTGCCATAAATTTGACAATCTCAAGACATCGATGACCAACTAACACTAGCTTCACATTTTTGTTAGAGCCAATATTTGCTTGCACTGTCGTAACCATTTGTTGACTAAGAAATGTCTAGCATATGTCACACAGACCGAAATGTTTTATGTGTCAATATCAAGGTTATTGCTATTGTCATAAAACTGCGCTCTTTCAAACTGTTTGTAACATTTACGAAAAACTGAATACTGTATTTTTTGAAAGTTTTTTCTGATCTCATCTCGGTAATATCACATTGCTGCCTAAAAATTGCGACTCTTTTGCGCTTCATGTAGACTCTATTTACTTCTCTACAGATTTACAAGCCAGTATTTGTAACATTTATAACTCAAACGCTTTCTAGCGTTTAGACCATTAATGAATGAATTCTTATCGCAACTTTGTTACACAAAATATTAGGAGTACATTGGACAAATAATTATGTCGGAATCGTTGAATCAGCTGGCGAAATCTGGTGCTTTTCTCATCCTTCATGAAAACTTAGAACGCTGGGCATCTTCTTATCAGGTTTGATTGAATCCTTCAAAAATAATTTATAAAATTTAGACGAATACCTGTGACGAAAATGTGGCTATGGGTTGTGAAATTATTGAGCTGAATGCCAGGATCCAAAACCAGCTTTTTCGGCTTATAAGCATTTGTGCTTCAGAAGGTGTGAAATATTCGTAATTTATACATGAAAAGTTTTAAATGTGGTTGTTTTAGACCATGGTTAATGAAACGTTGAGATAGAGCTCAAAAAATTGGTAATGTAATATTTTAAGTTTGAAAAGGGAGCATCCTTTTTGTAATACGTAACTAAATGAAAGCAAGAATACCGTTCATTAGCCTCTTAAACGGTTAATTTTATGTTTAAGAAAACGTATTGATTACAGAAAGTGGAACTGTGTATCCTTAATCATTATTCATTAGTTGTACTATTTTTAATAACTCGCTGTTTTACCAACTGTCTTTAATTTTGTGATGATATCTTAGATAGTATAGGTGCAGGCAATATCTCTGTCTTACTCATTGTAATAATAACAACTATGCAAACCAAAAAACCGCAAATTTTTTTGTTGTTTGAGTCAGTAAATATAACAATGTGTTTCGAATAATGAAGTTTACATAAAGTAGAAAGCACTGCGCACTCCTCATTCGTGTTGCGAAAAAAACACAAACACATAAGAAACGACAAGAAGGATGGCAGATTAGGGTTTTCGCATAAACGTTTAACAGCTTAGAACGATCAATAACTTCATTTGTAGTTAACATGACTATAATTTTTAGTCTAGTTCTCATATATACCTTCATAAAAGTCAGCGAGAACTCCATGAGCACAGTCGAGGGTATTATATTTAAAATTCGAATCAAGGGCGGAATAGTGTTAGAAAGAAAATTGACTGGTTTGAATATCATTATACTCCTTTTTAATACTGATTATTACCCTTTCATACAGGTGGTCCATATGGGGGTGCAAATGCAATCAAACTTCGACTTTTACCACTTCTTGGATCAGGTAGTGTATTTTCCGGTTTCGCTGTTGGAAAACAAACATCAAATTCTAATTTGTTTCCACCTAAAACCTACGAATCGGATATTTCAAAATATCCTAGACAAGACAAATACGAAGTTGATCTGATTGAAACACGTAAAGAAAACAATCGGCTAAGAGAGCAGTAAGTTCTTGCTCAACATTTGTTGAGCAAGAGTGTGAACTAACCATACATTTTTTTATTTATACTAGCTCTATGTAGATTCGTAAAACTAAATGGTGGAAAAATCAACAAATCATAACACGCTTTTAGCTTAAAAGTGAAACTTTGATCAAAACTCCCCAGTTTAACAGACTGATATAAGTCAATAGTAAAACTTCCATAATTTTATTGAAATTTTCCGTTGTTAAACATAAGTCTATAAAATTGTGTTCAAATGTGTGAATAATTTTCGGATGAATTTTAGCAAATTCTTTTAAGATTTGTCCACTTAACATGTCTTTCCATTTTAGAGAATGTTGATGCCATCCAAACAGAAGCTATTAGAGCGAAACTATCGTACATCTTACGTCCATCAAAAATAATTTGATAAGTGCTTTTGTATTTTGTCAAATACGTGCGAGATATAAGGATGAACCCTAACTATCCCTTTGAATTTGTTGAAATTCTTCTATCCAGAGCTTTAAGCTATCGTTTAAACCGTTAGTTTAAAGTAAAATATATATCGGTCATCATTTTCGTCATCATACTAAGAATAAAGAATGCCTTATATGTTAACGCTTACAACTGTCATTTCGTCACTAATGTTTTTCTATCATTTTTAAAAGATAAATTCACTGTTTGAGTGCATTCTAGCAAATAAACATATCAATTAATTTTAAAATCTTACGTCATACTTTAGTAGTTATCATATTTCGTAATTTCCAATAAACCTTAATATCACTTACCTTATTGTCGATCATTTATTCATTAGGTGAGGATGTTTTTAATTGGCATATCAAATAAATATGAAATCTCTGATTAAACACTAATTTTTTTAAAGAATAAGCACACAGTACTGTAGTAAACATCTGTCGAACAAAAAAGATTTTAAAGTAAAACGGCACCCAATTTTCGCCGACTTTTTAAATTCTTACACTAACTGAACAAACGTAAATCATTAAAAATTAAGTAGTCGGGCGTGTTTTACTATAACGGAGTATATTTTTCAAAATCTAAATCGTTTATATTTTTATTTCACTGACCTATTAGAATACTTTCATTGGAAGGGGAAAATGAGCGTCTCAAAACTCATATATATTGTCCTAATAAAAACGAGTATGATTTTACTAAAGATAATTCTGGATCGCTGAAAAATCTTCCAACTTCATCAAAAATGTGAGTCATAAAAATTGCTTTTGATACATGTAAGTCATCATTCAAATATCATGGATTGACGGTACCTATCTTGCAAATGTATGACTGATTTAAACTTAATGGTTCACCAATAAACGACTAGCAACGCGCTGTCCAAAAGATGTTCATTAATAATAAAATCTGGTAATAACAATATCCGTTTTTATTTCACATTTACTTACACTGGTGTTTCAACGTTAAACCAGCCTAGTTAGGACTAATGAGCAACAATTCATATAAATTATCTCACATAAAGTCTACAAGTTTTTGTTGCTTCAAAGAACTGTTCGTATATGCGCGGACAACCGAGTAATCATTGCCTGGGTTAGATGTAGGATACTAGGTGGAGATAGGAAATATATTGAAAAGTTAGTAAATCTCCATCGACTGAAGTAACTGGGATGTGTGCCACGAATGTCAACCAACGGCTACCTCGGATAGCGATGTGTTTCGGTGCAGAAATAGGCTGCAGAAGAGATAGAGGTGGTAAAACCAAGATATAGTATCGGTGTACGAAGTCACTGAAAATTGGACTTGGCCATGTTAACATGTGTAGACTGTCTGGTTAAGATCCGCGTGATTATCTTAACCAATGATCAGAGACTTTGGATGACATTGTTGAAAACCGTTTGCAGTAACGCAAGTGCATCCATTCTATGGTTCCCACCAAATTTTAAAACCCTATATTCCTCACAACTTTTTATCACGCCAATTTTTATTTTCTTCTCGAATGGTGACTTCGATGCCTAATCTTTTCTACTACCATTAATACTGTTACTACCTCTACTATTCTGGAGGCCTGTTTGATGGATGACCATAAAATAAAAAAACTTAAACCACAGTTAGTTTTTGCTGTCATTATCTAAGTGCATTAAGAAAATAAAACGTTTGAAGTTTAATAGGATTGTAAGGAAATAGGTTGCACGACTATATGTGATCAACCCCAATGAGTTTGTAAAACAAAGAGTGAAACTGACATTGACTTTCTAAATTAAAAAACGTACCATTTAATTGAACAAATATCAAAACTTATCATTTGAGGGTATTATTAAGAGAATTGGACGCAAAAAATCAAGCAATAGCAGATGTAGCAACTTTTAAACAATCAAACACCTTAAATTCGTGTGCTTACGAATTTAAAGTTGATTTTAGTTCACCCAAAATTCAGGCCTCCATGCATCTCTAATTCATACAAATAAAACATGGAGTTAAAGACATTGAAAAATGTGAACAAATCGGAGTTTCAGTTGCTTGATCTTCAAAACCATTTTTTAGGTCTTACCAAACGAAAATGCCCAGCATCTGTCTAACGATTTCGCCGACGATAAATAACAATTCCTTTGATTGACTTATCGTTCTTATATAAACCTTACATTTAAGATTTTTGGTGACGACTTTAATATTCTATCAAACGTAATTACAAAAGCATGTATAAAATCGAAAAAAATGTGTTATTTTCAGGTATTCATTTTTCAATTGCAATTTTTCAGCATTTCTACAATTATACCGTAACAGTGTTCATGTAATTATGAATGCTGGAGCTAGTATCATAATAGCGCCTCAAAAGAGGTTAGTGAATGTTAATAGAAAAATCCAACATTTTAGATGCAACTGGTGAAAAACGAAAAGGGGATTTAACGTTTGAATATTTAATGAGTGACTGGAGTTTGTCACATGTTTTTAGCATATTCTTCATCTGGCTTTTCTGTTTGTAGCATACTGTACTGTTCAATAATTATCAACTTTTTTTGTTTGGAAAAAGGTATGAAGAAAAAGATGTTGGACCACTGTCTTTATCAGCCCCCTCAGATTTAACACCATCTATGCTAACTGGTGTTAGTCCGCTAAGTCCAAATGATCCGATACAACGATACAGGCAGCACATTTTGGTAATGCGTTTTAATGAATTATTTTCATTGCATCGAGTTGAAGCAATGGGTATTTTAAGGCGTTACATAGACGATTATGAAGCAAGCCAAAAAATTATTTTCTATACAGTTTTGGTTAGTTTGCACATTATTAATTTAAAATTTAAATTTTGCACTTCTATTTATTTCAGTTTTATGAATTTCCAAACAAACCGACTTTAGTGATTAGTTTCTAAAGGAGAATATTCTTCATATGCAAGTTTTCCCGAAATGACTAGTGATTAACTGAAGGAAATTGGTATCTACGATGTAATTGACAAATATCCTTCCTTTCGTCTACGCTCAAGCTCCGGTTCTTTAGGCTCTTAAATATCGAATAGAAAGAGAAAGTGTAACTTTCTTGACATCATTGTGAAAAAGAAGCTTAAAAAACTAAAAAAACCATCTATTAAACAGAAGAAATGAATATACAAATGGTGACTGAAAGATGAGAGTAAAACACTAGGATTTTCAAGATTTGGGAAACTAAATATTTTTGAAGGCTATTTTAAATCCATGTAACCTGTAGTTCATAGGTACTACTTTCTGGCTGATACCGATATCTTAGTTAATTACCGTAATTTAAATATCGATGCTTATCTATTAACAATTTAAAGTGATTATCCTCTGTCTTTAGAGATTTTATGATCTCTTTGATCAATCAATTAAGTTAAAGTCACGTTAGAGGATAAATTGTATCATGTTATGAGCTTGTCTACATGTTAAGTATTAAAAATGAAGTAGTTCTCCGTATAACCTAAGGATTCATGGTTTGTGACACTTTTTACATCAACGTCAAACTACAACATTAATTAGCAAACACTAACTAGTCATGAAGACTTCCCATCATATTTATCAAAAATCAGTAATGACTTGGATTAGAAATATAATGCATCAAATTATCATTTATTATCTGAAATCATTAGATGATATATTTTTTGTAAGGCAGTTTAAGTAAAACAGCATATTTCAACAAGAAGCTTTTTTGGAACTAATCAACTTCAATAATATGTGCAGTTTAGTCTTTTGCAGACACTATTTTAATGTAGAGATTGCTTTGGATCTAAATCGAAATCTATTGAAGAGGCACTAAAAATTGGCAAATTCTACGTAACTCTTTTTTCTTAGTTTAAAAGCTTCAAAAAAGTATGCTTGACTGTTGATTTTACTGAAACAAATTATTGAAGTACATGAGACCAAAAAAGAATTAATGAGAGAGTTTCGCCTTTATACGTTATTTGAAATATGAGAAATTTGAAAATTTAGATGACTACAATGTACTTTTGAGAATCACCTGATGAAACACAAAAAAGTATTAAGAAAGAAATGCCACACAACAAAGTGTAAGAAACATTCAAAAGAAGTCAAACAGAAGAGGTTGTTTCACAGTCAAGCTGGCAAGAAATGAATGTAAGGATTAACAGATTGAATATTTGTTTTTGTTCAAAAACTTTCTTCTACTATTAGTACAGATTAAATAGTTAGAGAGCCAAATCTCGTAAGGGTAAACTGTTTGCAAGTGATTTTATTCCTCTGATGTGGCTAGCAAACAGTTCAGATATGTATTTTATCATTATCCGGATACCCGTGCTCTTAAACTTTCAAAGTATTTCTGCATTATTTTTTTCTTAAATTCTGTTGACTATTGTTTTTTTGCTTGGAGCGGAAATTTTGATCAGTTATCTTACTTAACAAGTTTAAAACTCAACATACAACATGATACGCAGGGAAACAAATCATATATTTTAGTCGTGTATTTCATTTTCAAAATAAAACTGTTCAACTCTTCATCATTCAAATCAAAAACCGTCATGTAGTCATATAAATTCTTCTCCATTTGTTTAATCTCTGAAACTGTTTTTTTCTCCAAATCAACCAATACAAAATATTGATTGACTATTACTTGTTATTTACATATTGATGTTAATATCTTTTCTATCACATCCATTTTGATTTTATGTCTTAAATCAAACAATGCTGATCACGTTAATTATCCAATTATCATACTCTCTTTTAAACTGGGCTAATAAAAGCCAAGGTCACTATGGTTGCTTTAGTAACCAGCATAAATCTATTGAGATCAGATTTTGAAATGATGTAAATTTGTTATATCTTAGCCGCAAAAAAGAACAAAGTAGAAAAGTAGTCGATTTAAACACAAACTTTTATTCATAATAAACCAACACAGTTATTAATTTTCCTACTAAAATTATATCCAGATAAAGGAAACATTACACAAATAATTTGTAGACTATTTTATTTTGTCATTATATATAAAAAATACTTAAGAAGGTAGGATAATCTTTTAAATAAAGCAGGTTATAGAAATGTAAACCAGTAGCGTATTTCATTTTGTTCAACTCTTTGTGCCGCATAAATTTAAACTCATTAGTGATCATTTCATGTTATTCCAATCGAAATAATCAGGGTCATGGATTAATCAGTCAGGTGTTTATATATATGTATACAGAGAGAGGGAGAGGAAGGGATTCATCTCAGTCGTACTTAACATTCAAGGATGTCAGTTTTGTTCATCAGATAAAAATGGATAGTCAGGGATGAAAATGAAGGTCCAACTGCTACCAACAAGACCGCATAATTGCTTACTGTATTAAATATTCTCAAAAGATTACTGTAATTATTTATATTTAAAGAGTTAGTGTAAAGTATAAATAACTTGTGAGTTCATCATATTATGGTTATTTTAATCACTATCAAGTAGATTGTGTCATCAATCACTATGGGCAACCAACTAATCAATACAACTGAACTAATTAAAAAACAATCTTTTTATCCGACAATGGACTGAAGATCCTGAAAAAAATTTGATAAAATAAAGACTTCCTTCAATGTTTGTTAGTTCGCTTTTTGCGATTAACTAAAGAAAAATGAAAAAAAATCATCATAACGAAAACTTTTGTGGAAGTGGAACGAAATAAGACGAATTATAGGAAAGTAAATGTATAGAATATAAAGAATTCAGGATTTGGAGACATAAATAGCAGTTGGATATTGTATTGGCAGTTAAGTGAAATTAATGAATATGATGCGCGGAATCAGCACAAACGATCAATTTTCGCACAATTATTTTGTCTCTTTTCCAGCAAATAAGCCTGATTACTTGAATGATGTAATCGCAGTGGACATGAAATTAGATAATCCAATGCTCTTATATGTAATCAATTTTATATGTTGTACATTCAATAAAATATCTTATCACTATAAATATTTACTGACCGCAATCCAATACTGCCGCGTAAACTGTTATAATTGGATTTATACAAATGTAAGGAACCAAATAGTAAAGCAACTCTCAGAAGGCCATTTAAACATGTGCACACAGTACTAGCGAAACATTCATTCCAGATACAAAGTTTCTTGTTAAGATATGTACCGTAAACAAAATTCAAGACTCAGAACTTTGTGTGATAGTGGTCCAAATCAGTTTCACTTGCGTAGTTCCAAACAATTTTTAAAGTTGAAGCCTGAAGTTTCGTACTTTCTATTATTCTGTGATAAATTCTGTCTGTTAACTACATCTCTTATGTCATCCAAGCTAAAGAGGATAGGCTTACTTCCTTAAATTCTAAAGTTCATAAATGAAAGTAATGTAAACTCACCCTATAAATCCAAAACTTGATTTTTATGACACTCATGAGTGCTTGCTACTATCGAGTATCAAGGTTAAATGAAACAGTTATTCATTGTTACATGTACTATTGATATTTTATATTTTACGGTCACATTTTGATGCAACTGATACGACTGATTACATATGGTGTTTGAGAATGGTATTTCAAATTACTTCTGGATACACTAGTTCTTTGTACATAAACTCCAATTTCTGAATTTTATTGTTATGATCATTCATTTAAAATCTTAATAGATTAACTTCGTGATATCAAGTTATATAGTTCCATTTTGTACATACATTTTTATCCGTCATTAGAATCTATCGTTGAAGTTCAATATGATATGAAACAATCATTTGTTTTATGCACTCTATATATTAATAAACATTATTTTTCATCTCTTTATTCAAGGACTCATTTCATGTAGCCAAATCACATTTTCGAGCATATAAAAATCGTGTACGTAAACAGATTGCAGCGAATAATTTAATCACAACAGAAACATTAGATGAATTGGTACAATCGTACATTAACATTCATGCTAGTCATTCAGCTGATATTTCATTACTTGTTAAAGATGCATGTTTAGCTTTGGAACGCCGTGTACCACGGATTCGCCGACCATCACAGAATCTTGGTTTCGAAGTTATTAAAGATTTTCTTTATGAAACATGTAAACTTGCCTGGGAATGTGCTGCTTTGAGTCATCCGCTCGAAATTTGTAGACCAGCTTGTGAAAATGAATTGATCGACGAGGCAAAGTAAGCGAATCAATTAAAATATTTCTTAACATCATTTGTTATAAAGTTTCGTGTACAAAGATTTTCGTAAAAATGATCGACATCCTAAAATCGTTCGACATAATATGAGGAATTTAAGAATTAAGAGACTCTGATATAACCTGATAGTCTCTTAGCTGTCTCTTTGTGAGGAATAGTTTAATTCATGAGACAAAAACCAGACCCCTTACCCACTTTAATAAAATATAGATTTTGCTTGTTGTCAGTACGATAATTGGTTAAAAAAGAATTTTTTTTTGAAAACTACTTGGCACTATATAACAAATCAAATTATCAGCCCAGATTCTGACGAATTATAACTAACTATAACTCGAGTTTTATTAGACTTCAAGTGATTGTCTAACTGCTGGCTCTAAGTGCCTGTGGAATATCATCAGTACCAAAAGTGATGAAGATTAATAGGATTAAAAAGTATTCCCATTTTCATTCTTCATGTTAGATCATCTTTCAAATGAAGCCTTGTGCTTGTTATCACTATATTTTTCCTTAGCTTACCATTGTCGAAGTTTGGACTATTTTTGTTCTTGGATACAATCAATCCTGCCAATATTATTCGGTTATTACATTTCAAAAAATAAAATAAAACGCAGCTTTAAGTTACCTGAACCACTTAAAGATTTCATATTCAGATACGTAAAATAAAGAAAAATATGCTTGAAGCGATTAGTTATTCGTATACCTTAATTGCTATTTTTAATCACTACTAATTAAATAGAAGTTTTAAAAACGAGTAGACAAATAATCTGCTCAAAATCACTGCCTTAAGTGCAGCTGTAGAAATAATCCGAAACCAGCTGAATATCAAGGGACACTTGCAAAGCGTAATTTCCTGTATGCGTTAACTTCAACAACCAACAAAACTCATGTATGTAAGAATGTTTTTTAACTGTTTGATATTTTTCAAAATTAAATAGACTTATATGAGATCAGATGCAAATCAATGTTTTTTTTATTATTTTACTTAAGCTTTAATGAGCAGAGTGACTTGAAATAGTTTGTACTATTTAATACCAACTGTCGCATGTTAATGAACGTATATCTAAACAACGAACATAAAAAAACACATTGGACATTTTATAAAGTTTCTGCAGATTGTAATTACACCTTAAAATTATTGTTTATTCAGTCACTCATATGATATAAATTGCTGAAGTTAATACACTAATTATTAATAATTGAGTTATTTAAGATATCTTCTGTTTGTCAGGAAACTATTTGTATAGTTGACTAGTAACCAAAGTATGATATTATTCTGCATTTTATCAAGTTTACCATCTCTTTTTCCGTTTATTTCCTTATGTTTACTGTAGATATAGGCGTAGTCATGATTCATCTTATCCAACATTATTAATTCATCACCACATATGGCCATGTTTAATGCAAAATGAGAGGATTGTTGCTAAGGGAGAAGTATGCACCAGAGGAAATTTTAATTCATACGGTTTTGAAATTATGGTAAGATACTTTTTCATAAATAATAAATACTTGAATAGAATACAAATTCATTATTTTGGTGAAGAGGAGTCAAATCATTACTTATTTTAAAAAAAGTTGAGTAAATGAATTTCGTCAAACTAAATTCATTCAGATATTTTAGATGTATTTTAGTGGTTGCCTTTTGAAGGTTATTAGACTTTAAGCTAAAGTTCAAAGATATAGTACTATGTTTTCGTCAAACATTGCTGATAAGTATTTCACCATTTCACATGAGATAAGGTCATAACGTCAGGTAAACAAGAACATATTTCCGTTGGTGATGAATGATATAGCATAAATCAATATCTCTATTACCGAATTTCCGTGTTCTGAATTTTAACTACCCACTGAATAGAAATGTCGCTAGAATATTTTGTTTAGGTTCGCTTGATGAATTCTTTCAATGGCTAATAAATTTCTTCAACAGAATCTTTCGTGCTATGAAACCCTTAATTATTTGTTTTACCATTCGATGGTCGATAATAATTGACTTTGTGAATATTGCGATATTTATTTATCGTATTCAATCAATTAAGGAGATTTTTTATGGAAACCAATAACCAGGTTAGACAAATACGAAAAAGAAAAATGTTCGAGATAGATGCTTCAACTAAGCATAAGACTCCTCACCAGTAAAGTGGAATAACTTTTACTTGATAGTATCATTTCAGTCGTAATGCACTGTAAAATTTTCTATTTATTTCATATGGAGTTAAAATGAATTTCAACCAGCTTATATTTAGGTTTATATTTTTCAAGCTAATAAACCATTTGATTTGTTTAAAGAGTTTTAAAGAAGATATTTCGTCCGTATGTTGGATTGCACTGCAACAACCTTATTGAACTATATGTTTATTCTGTCACAGACTCTATAACTTAATGAAGAAGCTTTAAAACTAACCAGCCAATAATATAATCGGATATTACTTGTGACATAATGTTATTTCTATCATCAATACACGCAAAATAATAAAACTGTTTAACTCATAATCCTGTAATAACTCACCCAAAGTTTTGAATCAACGCAGTACCTGTTCAATTTTGTCAGCAACTGCTAATTTAAGGCTTTCTTAGTATCTTGATATTATTAGCAGTTGAGGACCATTGTTTGAATAGCTTTAAATTACACATATTATCACTCAAATATACTCGTTCATTACTTTTGCAACACAAATTTCGACCATTCTCTTTTGCCATATTAGATTACTATTTGATTGCACGTATATGTCTCGTGATTCACTTTTTGAGTTGCATGTTATTCTGATTACCTTTTCTGTTATTTGGAAGTATAATAACTTGGACTGAACTACTGTGTAACATTTTAGCTTATGTTTAAAAAATATCAACCCAATTGTCTACTAAATCCTCAAATAAATAAAAATATATTAAACTCGAAGGATCCAGTGTATGTTCCATTGCAGCAAGGAACAGTCTGAATATACTAAAGACATATAAATTAGAGTATAAAATTTTGGTTATTGAAAGAATACAAAAATAATACTCTTAGTATTTCGGAGACTGAAGAATTCTTCGGAAAGTCTTAATAATAATAGCATTATTAATCATTAAAAATTTTGCAACAGTAAGGAATTAACCGAAACAATTGACATTATTGCAATAAATTTTTCTCGGACATATATTTAAACAGTAAAATATTTAACAACTACAATCTACAAATGTTTCACCATTGTGTGCTCTCCTCTACTCATCCTCCATGGCTAAATTTTACTATCATATCAGGTGTCAAAATTACGTTTTTCATCCATCAGATACTGAAAGCATGATTTCCAACACACCTGTCTCTTGTTATTTTCAAAGAGTAGGCAAGAAGAAAAATATACCAAGAAACGCAGTGCTTCAGTTTGAAATTTTTAGCCTGAAGCATCGTAAGTCCTCAACATTTCACAATACCGCGTTAGCACACACAGTGGATTCAAAATTATTCGGACCAAAGAAATTAAAAAAGGGATGTTTTCTTATTATATCTGTACATTTGCAAAATAGATGACCCAAATACTTAAGGCAGTCGTTAGTATCAGCAATGTTATAATAAAACAGATCTGTTATCATCGGTGAGCTTTAAAGCATTTAACTTAAGTACACACCTGTCTAATTAGTGTTTGTTAATTTAGCAAGTTGGATCTGTCACTATTTTTTGTTTGTTCTTGAAATAATAAAATAGAGTAGGTAGATAGTTGGTCATTTCCATATAAATAGATCAAGCAATTGAATTTCTGGCTAATGGCATATGTTATTTTGCCATACTAACTCATACTGACAAACCCAATAAAGAAATTTTTAAAATTATTCTCTTTGTTTTATTGCCGTTTTTAAATCATACTTTAGTCTTCGGATAATCGAAGAGGGATAGATCGATATCGTAGTCGCATATCTTCACGTTCATGTTCACCAGTACGACCATCTACTTCGCCTGGTAAATAATTGAAAAAACACTATTTAATTGTTATTTTATATAAATATATTTTATTGTAAATGTGGATTTCTATTTATTAATCTAAAGGTATTGAAAACGGTAAGTTACAGAATATATGTAACATTACTCATGAAAATTGATCATAATAACCATAGATGTATTTAACACTTTTTTTAATTTTGTATTAATCAAATACCTATTTGTGTCTTCTAGTTCATTTTAATGATTTATTTAGCTGGCGTTATTAGATCATGATTTCAAAACGCATCCAAAAATGTTTGCTCATTTTTGTTTTGTTCTTTGAATAGATGTATACACTCTCTGTCTTCACTTAAACTGTGAGATTAAAGTTGCTTTATATCTTTCTTTCTACCGACTAATTATTTCTTCCTGTACTATACCCTTATGCACAATCTTTCTTTTATGTATTTCTACCACTGAAGTAACTACTTCTATGGATCCGGTGTTTATCTTGTTGTGCTAATGAGATGTGGCACCTTGGACTGATGCATATATGTGCCTGGTTTTATGTTGTAGCTGACTGAACAATTTTCTTATTGATAGTTCAATGATTTCAAGTTCAAATTTGTTTTTACAAAGTTATCAAAATATAGTTTATTACTAACAACAGGAATAAAAATTTTCAAATGAGCTACAAATACCATAACTGGATAACTTCAGCCTATTTATTTCTCTTGTATTGAATTTCTTTCTATTGACCTTTAAAAATGATGATATAACTTCACCCTAAACTGAAAATGTTTCTATCCTAATTTGTTTCAACTCATGACTACCTTCTATTATTGTTACTATTATTAATACTTAAATAAAGTGTAGATTTTGTTATTTAAAACTTGTAATAATTTTCGATCTACCGATCTAAATACAATCATATTTATATTGTATATCTATAGGCTTAAGAGACAACTCGACTGATCGATGTTAATATATCGTGAGTTACCTAGCTATGAGCACAAAATATTTTATAATGAACTAATGAAAATTATTTTTATTTTATTTAAATTTAAACAGTTACTATTATCATCACATTTTATTTCGGCCAATCTCACTTGCCTTTAGTTTTTTTTTTCTGAAAAATGATTATTATTACTTTTGTTTAAAATTACACATATTGGCAGATTTATTTGAGGGAGAACAATCACAAGGAAGTCGTTTACATTTTTATTTATTATTAATTAATCTTTATAATTTAGTACTTCATAAAATTATAGTCACACAATGTAGTATAAGTTATTTTATGGTGAGATATTAAAGAGGAAGAATGTATTTGTAAAATCTTAGTGAATAAATTTGAAGTAAACCAACGTTTCACCTGGCAATCTTTCTCAAGCTTTTCCAAAAAAATATAATCAAACATCAAAATTATCGAATATAAATAGGTACATAGTTCTGTGTATACTAAACAGGTTATCCAATCAATGTTAATCATGTTAAAAGTAGGTATTTGCATTAGTGTGTAAGAGACATGTGGTGTGAAACGAAAAGTGTTAAGATAACAGATTCTGTGTATACGTATGTGGTATGAGAAGAAATTTCATTCACGATATATTGTCTTTGGTCAGCAAAAATATTGGATTTACTTCAAATTCATTCACTGACATTTTACAAATACATTCTTCCTTTTTAATGTCTCACATCTATTCGGCAACCGAACACTGTGAAACTATCCGATCAAATTTAAACGAAAGTTCTTATATAATTTGTGGTGATTTTATTTCCAATTAAATCTATTAGTCTAATATTGATTTGTTAAGCACTCTCTTACTGTGTTTAAAAATTTATCAAACGGAATTAGTTATTTCTATAAGGAAAAACAAAATAATAGAACGTCACTGACGGTTCAACTTGTTTCGTATCATCTTGTTTCACATAAAATACCTTTGTTTTAGTTTATTTTATTATTATTGTAATTATTTTCTGAGCGTTTTGATCAAATATCTTGCACTATACTGCTTGTTTCATAGAAAGCACTCAGTCATTTACAATTAGTTCACAAATAACTGTACATGATTTTTATGGCTGACTAGTCTGAAAGTGGTATGATTTCCGCACTTTGTTATAAAACTAGTTAATCGTCTTACATGAGACTTTGAACATAATCAAGCACCTGTACCCCCTATGTTTCACAAGTTTTATAAAAGTACTTTTCACTAGTTTGCTTTATTTTATTTTCAAGAAATCTGTCATACAGAAAAATGATATCGCAAAAATCAATTTTGTTCACTGATTATCCCCAGTTAATAATTACCTACTGTAATGTTTTGTGAAATTGATTAATTTGGTTTTGACTGGAGTTTCAATTTCTAGTCCTTAAGAAAATTATGTAATTTAGGTTAAATTATTTCTATAAATTCTAAATTTCTCATTTTAGTTATAAGTGGCATTAATTATCAATTTTTAAGGGAATGGTAAACTGTTTGTTTTTGCTGGGAAAGTGTGTGTTAAGCTAATGTGTTGTGTTTTAGTTCAATGGATTTTTTAAAACCTAACTGAAGGAATGTTATTTTCTTCTGAAATCCACCCTTCGGTTGGATGATCCACTACGGTGCATATTGATACGTAATTAATAGTAAGTAGGTAAGTTTCTCTATCGTCAGTTGGATGGTTTCGCTAGAATTTCCACTCATTTGCATGGAGATCTTGAGAAGAGACAAACTCAAGACTTAATTACATCTTGTGACCCGCTTTTTTTCAAATATACTCCTCAGTGGTATGACTTTCATCACTTTTTTTATTCGTACTAAGTAATTATTAATTTGTGATTACAGTTCCGTTTGATAGATTTCATCTTCTAAAAATTTTGGAAATTCTGTACGTTTTCCATTGCTTTGGTCAGTTTGTAGACTATCAAGTAATTTCCTTTTATTTTTCTTAATAATTTGTTATGACGACAGCAATCGGATAAATGTTGTACTTAATTGTAATTGCAAACATGTTGTTTGTACAACCATGACAAATTATGTTATTCGGAGAAATTATAGATTACGAAATGAACTTGCATGCCACTACTTAATAAACATCCTTTACCCATATTCGTGAGATTTCATTTTCCATTACCGATAACTGAAAAATAACACAAATGCAACTTAATCAACCAGTGAGTATCATAGATCACTGAACAACTAATTTATCTTGTTCTGAGTTTATAAATTTAAAGAATGATTTGTGCAGAATAACATGAACTCATTAAGCTTCTGATAGCTGGAACAAACTGTGAACCATAACATAGACTATGAAATACTGAACTAAGAAAATAGGCGTCTCGTTTATGATTCAGATAGTAAAAATCGTATAACTGATTGGTGTTAAACGTTATTCTTACCACACCAAATATTTGTAAATATACCAAATATGAATAATCCAAAGTTACTAAAGATGAGATTGCCATTCAACAATTACGACTAATTCTTATAACATCGTATCTAATAAAGTAACATTAAAAAAGACAGTGCGGGCAACATACTGGTAGAATAATGTTTATTCAACACTCATTTCGTAATACGAAATGTGAGGATTAAACTCCTTCCTAAATTACTAATTCAGGCCCTGGGTTCGAATCCCGCTCGCGGGATCGTGGATGCGCACTGCTGAGGAGTCCCACAATAGGACGAAACGGCCGTCCAGTGCTTCCAGGTTTTCAATTGTGATGGTCTAACATTAATTGGTTCATGATCTCAATCAAAAACTTAATAATCTCCACAACCCCTATACTAGTTATATAATAAACTTGATCGATCTATTACAATATTCTTAGCTTCTTAAAATAGCCACTAACAAACATTAAATGGAACAGGCGGACGATTTTCCATGTTTCTTATCATACGTATGAAGAGACTGACGAAAAATAAACTAGGATAGAACTTGAACAAATTAATAAAACGAATAACAAATCTCCCATAAGAATGGAAGAACTAAAGTAATATTATGCAGGAGAGAAAATAATGAAGCTAGGTCAACAAGAACTAGTTACTAGTAAGTTCCAGATATCATACTACATCTCGAGGTGATCTTTATTAGTAATCAAAGCATTTCACAAAATTACCCATCTCGATAAATTGAATTTGTAAGTCCCATGAAATTAACTATGCAAAACGTCCACACTTTTTTCACATGAAAATGACTACTGAATACTTGATCATTATTTATTTTTCTACAGGTACAAGGAAGCGTCTACATTTTAAAAGATCGCGAAATTTGAGGATCAGTTAACTTTGTTCTGTTTTAAAATCAACAACTACACAAATTAACCAGATCTTCTAACTGTAATAGAAGGAGAACTAATTAACACTTAATTAGACATTTCTTCACTCCGGTTTGGCTTATTGCTTCCTTGGGCTTTGCATTTAAATTGAGTGGACATTTCACTAACGAACTATTCTTTAATCTTCTATCCAGTTGATATACAACTAGTTTTTACATTATTGTGGACTACATATGTAACCGAATTTTCCTTTTTTGTCTTTAGAACTTTATTTACAAAAAAACATGTAGCAACTGTATCAAACTAACTGGACCACTAGGTTAATATAATTTGAGAATCCTTATATAATTATGGCAACGTCAATTTGCGTTTACATCGTAACAGTGACTCAAGCGAGCCAAGCTATTGTAATGTTACTCTCTTCTTATTTACAAGTAAGTTGCCTGGCGATTATTACATTCGAAAGCCATTAGAGGTAGAAAATGTTGTGCTCTGAGAACCAATGTTAGGTGATAATTTAATATTGATTTCTCCGGGATATCGGCATCTAGAGTAACAGCATAGAATAACTGCAAGTAGAATTCAGAAAGGTGAAACGTCTAAAATACCATAATTAGCTAACTTAGCGAAGCTCAATAACATTTAATAAGGTTTTATTTAAGGACCCAAGATTGAGAAACAGATATATGTACAGACGTAGCTGACCAATTTCAAGCATATATTTGTAACTTCATGGTCATAAACCTGAGTTAAAGAAACCAAGACAACTTAGCTCCTGAAAGGTACTTCAAAAAAATCCTGAACTTGGCGTCAGCTTAGAAGCACCGGTTAGTTCGACTAATTTTGGTAACAGGCAATCTTCTTGAAAGGCAGCAAAAGTCCTCAGAACTGGGATGAATGTAAACAATGTAACTGGCTAAAAATAATCCACAATACAAGTGACGAAAACATAAAAGAATAATGCTAAACCTAGTGATGACATCCAAGTAAAAGCAGTTTAGTGAATCAGGCATTTTACATCTATATGTTTATATTACTTTCTGACACAATAGGTTTTGGTGAGTTCGGATCTCTAAATTGATGAATGAGTTGACTGCCAAAGCTAATGAATTTCAAACCTATCTAAACAAGGCAAAACAGAATGAAAACGAAAGGAATAGAAGGGACGAAGGCTGATATTTTTTTTATTAATAGCCGCCAATCTAGTGCCTAATTTAAACAGAAGGCATGAACACGTGAATATTGTTTTATGACAAACTTTATTCCATTACCATCTTTAGTTCAAATCATTTTGTCAACCGAAGCGTAATCCTACATTGTAGATGATCAAAATGTCGTTGAAGCTCCGCTAATATGTTATAAGGATTCTCGTTACTAAAAGTAAACAAAGAAGAATGTTCGAAATGCCTTTGCATTGTAAACTGTTTGTAGGACCTATTAACCTAGTTCATTATCTACTTAAAACAGAGATGATTTTTGTTTCTTTTTTGTGGTGAAAATGAGGACTTTGAATGTTTCATGTTCTCCGAGCTGGTTGATTGATGCGTGAAGCTTTTATTGCACTTCTGGACAATGATAACGACACACATTTTAATGAGATAGAGCCGTTAGGATTTCCCACAACTGACTAACAGTTCATTTTGTTGAACATGGACAAGTGGTTAGACAACGAACCGTGTTAATAAATGAAATTTAAAGCAAAAGTGTAAAATGACATCTTAAACTTTGGTAGTGATGCTCTCGACAGGAAATTTACAAGTAGTTTAATTTTAATAAAGATGAAATTATGAGCTTTTAAAATTACCACAACTGCTTAACGTGTTAACCGGATATCTCATCACTAGATTACAAAGAGGTCAGTATATAGATAAGATGGAATCTCATTAAGTGAATCTTTTAAATAAATTAATTTCAAATTGTACAACTTTATTAATCTTAGGACAATACCCCAAGATTTAAGTAATGAAAAAGTTCAAACTCCTAGAATTTTCCTTAAATTAAATACGCAACAATAAAATAACATTCTTCAAATATTGGTTTGTTGCTGAATCAGCGATAAATATGTGTAATTAATTTACAGATATACGTAATAATAACATAAAACATGTCTATCAGGTATTTATGATAGAATAGTGAAAGAGGTTAATGTCACGCAAATACATGTATATATGAGCATATAGATTACGGTAAAAATGATAACCATTTATAATTAAAATGATAAGCTTTTTAATTGTTATATTAAGATATCCTGAAAGACAACACGTGGTAATGCAATGTGAAATATATGAAAACATCAATCGTTTAAAAATGTATTTACAAATGTAGATGAGCACTCGTAACTACTAGATGAAGGACAAGTAGAATTTTGATTATTAACATTTTCCCAATCTTGAAGAGCTGCTCTGCATTGATTGACAGAAAATTCAGCATGCATTTTAATCCAGTCATAATTTTCGATTTCATTTAAAGAAACCCTTTGACTTGACAACTTTTTGAGCATCTAAGAATAGATATTTGAAAGCCACTAACAAGTAATTTATTAAGCAGAAAAAGTCATTTGCAAAATACTATAGTAATTTAACTTCCTCAAATATATTGTTCGCATGGTGCTTTATCGTTAGCATAATCTAACTTCACACAACATAAACTCCACTGATAGCCAACACTATATTCCTAGGAAATTATTTTCGATACAATACCGACAGTATCTCAATGTACACAATAATCAACCAGTAATCAAAAAGTGAGAAATATTAAATACTATAATTATGAAATGAACTTACACTAGTAATGAGCTTCGTCGCACCCAGATTTAATGTATCTGGATATGAAACATCAGCATTTCGGATCTTTTCGGAGATCTCCTGGAAGGTTTCACCATCAAAGGGTAAATGACCGGTAAGCATCTCGAAAGTGAGTATTCCCAAGCTCCATATGTCTACACGATGATCATGAACACACTCCAAATGGAACAATTCGGGAGCCAAGTAATTGAGCGTACCAAAAGTAGTCATACGTCTAATTACTTGTACGAAAAAGAGGAATAAAACCTACCGTGAAGCTGGTAAGTGCACTGCGCTGCCAAAATCCGCAATCTTCACTTCACCGCGAGCTCCAAGAAGTATATTTTCTGGTTTGATATCTCGATGTATAACATCATTTTGATGACAGTAAGAAAGAGCTTTGGAAAGCTGGTATACGTACTGTAAAACATGAACGATATGCCTTGTTATATATGTAAATAAGGTCAGCTTTATATACATGAATATAAAAGACATCATAAACCTAAGCAATTAAATATGAAACGACTTATTCGTGCCAATTAAAATGATTTCATGATCACAAAATCTAGGTGACGTTGACAAGAACTACAACTAAGTGTTATCAAGTGCAACGTCTTAATATTTACTTGGACACGAAATTATGTTCAACTATTCGTTGTGTCGCTGGGAGACAGAAATCAGGTGTTTCGCATTCTAAAATATTTATAAAAAGTCAACTCTTATTTGTTAGACCATGGATTGAAAAATACTATTTCTGTTTCGTTATGAAGAATACGGTGATATCAGTCCTCAAGTATCAAATTTTGAATATTAAAAACACCGGGAGTTATGAACCATAAAACCATGTAAAGTTAAAATTAACGACAATAATGTAAGAGGAAAAAAACTGTATAACACCAAGGAACAGGTGCGACTACAACTTACAACAAACAAGCATGAGTTTCTCGACACTACTGGAAAGGGTTTCAAGGTATTCTTAAAGACAGATTACAGCCTATTTATAAACTGTGATCAGTTAACCGTTGACTACTGATGTAGCTCAAAAACAAATAATGGTGACTGTCTGTTGTAACTATGCTCAGACAATCGTTTATTTTGAACAAGCATTAGTTTCAGGCATAAGGAGAGACATTGTCCAACATAGCAATCCCCTGAACCAAGCTAATGGACCCAAATACAGCATATAGCCATTTGTCATCATTGAAGAGGCTCGGTAGAAGGTTGCCGCTCGTTCCGGAATACATGTTCAGACTCTCATCATGCTTTGATACGAGTACGCATTTGCTTGCGCCTCAATGGAAGCAGGAAAGCCACATTAAGAAGATCCATCACAACTTGACTCAATAATGAGAAAGCTGACCTCCGGCTACTCTAGAGCTTCCCACTATTTCCAAACGGCCTGAGTGAAACATTGAAATAGGTTCCCCAGCTGTAACTGCAGTTCAAAAATCTATAGCTGATCTGAAACGAGGAAGAGTAGATGGTTCAAATGGATTAACTACAAACGTCTGTAAGGATGGTGGTCTAGTTTCGGCGATTGGGTTGACTAATATTTTAGCTAAAATCTGGGAACTGAATGTAATCCCACCTGACTGGCAGCTAAAAAAGACTCGTGAACTGCAAACACGAGAAAACCAGGTTGGCTTCAGACCTGATCGTAACTGCATCGACTACATATTCACCATTCGCCAGATTTTAAAACATAGGTATGCCATCGGCGTCCCACAATGATAGTTTTACTTGACTCGGTAGACCGAGAAGTTCTGTGGCAGTATCATTGAAAGGCGTACCTCAGAAGTACATAAACCTTGTAAAGACTGTTCACTAGAACACTAGTATTCGAGTCACAGCTTATGGCGAACTGTCACCTGATTTTTAAACCTTAAGTGGTGTCCGGTAAGACTGTCCACTATCTCCATTTTTGATAAATTCCATCACAGACCTACTACTGGAAATAACGTTCTCGTCGTCTGGATATTTATGGAATGATCTACTGACAGGAGTTCCACTTATTGGCTCAGAATACGCCGATGACATAGTCCTTTTGGTGAAGACACCGATAAAATGAAGTCTTTTGGCAGAACTGAGCAACAATGCCAGGACGTTTGGAATGCCTTTCTCCCCCTCTAAATTCAAATTGTTGCTTTAGGACTGGACTACGTTAACACCTAAACTTAGGATAACGAGTGAAGTGATCAAAGGCATCGACAACTTCACTTATCTTGGAAATCTGATCAGCCCTAATAGGTTGATGTCTAACGAAATCTCAGCATGGATTCAGAAAGCTCGTTTGGGTTTCGCCAAATCACGTTACCTATGGTGAAGGCGAGATATCGGTCTATCAATTAAAGAACGAATATACCGCGCGGCAGTTCGTCCTATTTTACTCCGTGGCTGCGAAACGTGTCCTTTAATGGTAGAAGATACTCGTAAGCTACTAGTATTTGACCACAAATGTCCTAGAAAAGTTGCTCGCATCTGCTGGGATCATCGGGTAAGTAATATTAAGGTTAGACGCAGGGTATTGGGAAATAATGGTAAATCAGTTGGTGAGGTTGTAAATCCTCATCGACTGAGATGGTTGGGCCATATGTTGCGTATGGCTGAACACCGATTATCACGACGCGCAACGCTGATTAGTGGTGGATATGGATAGAAGAAAGTTAGAGGTAGCCAAACCAAAACTTGGCATCAATCCTTGAAGTCACTAACTTCTGGTCTGCGCCATGTTTGTAGATGCAGACGATTTGGTTGGGGTCCGCGTGACTATCTTAACGAGTGGTTGGAGACTCTTGGTGACATGGCTCAGAATCGATCACAATGGCGTCGGTGTATACACTCTGTCTTCCCTTAAACTAAGAGATTAAAATCGCCTCATATCTTTCTTTCTACGAACTAATTCTTTCTTCCTGTATCATATCCTTATATGCAATCTTTCTTTTGCATATTACTATCACTGACGTAACTACTTCCATCGTGTTGACCTTGTTGTGCTAATGAGGTATGGTAACTTGGAACGATGCATATATGTGCCTGGTCCTACGTTGCAGATGACTGAGCCCAAAGACATGTCGACATGAACAAAGTAACGCTTAGTATAACTGTAAACCTATCTAGTCTGTCACACTTCACACCAGAAAAGTGAATGAAATCAATAAGAGGAAAAGGTGAAGAAGGGATAAATAATGTCAGTAGTGATTAACTAATGTTACAGATTTACAAGAATAAAAGAGATGAACCCACCTACATCAATAAGACCAAATTTTTTAAGGTCTTTAAGCACAGGTTAAAATTATCTGACGAACTCCAAACAAAAATTCTACATCTCTCAATACAGTTCAGAATAAAAGTTTAATGGACTGATAGTATGTAATAAACTTCCTACGGTTCTCTTGACGTAACATCCAGGTAGGTTGAAGAAGGCAATACTTGAGTGAATATAATTCCCTATTACCTCAGTCGATGGTGACCCATAACATCAAGTGATTTACTGTATTTAACTACAATCCCACCGTACGCTTAAGCTGCAAAAACACCTATGATCAAAGGATTGAAACCTTTACATGTTCTTTAGTCATGAAAGTTGTTGGGAAGCAGTAGAATAGCAAGGAGGAAACTGTGGAGCATACTTGTTCTCAGTTATACTTGTGTAGCATCTGTACTGCAGATCATATATATATATATATATATATATATATATATATATATATATATATATATCAGTAAATGTCAAGAGAATCCTTTGTTATCGTATCCGGATATTATCAGTCACTAAACCACTACGGCTGATAAAACCTTAGGGTAAGTGAAGCGCCAAACAGCTAGGCATCGATATAAATCAGCTATGATGAAATATTTTGAATGTGAATGAAAATAAATTCCGCCCGAACATTCTCAAGTTATTCAAGGTTTTTAGAAGGCTGAATTCTGTCAGTGTTTTCATAAAACAAAGTAATTTTGTCTGGCCACACCAAGTTGATATTTCAACTAGCAAGCAGTCTATTTATGAGAACTGAGATCAAAGAACTGTTACTTCGGGGGAATATCTATAATAAGCTAGAAGAGGTGTAGGTGGGTATTCCGAATAAGTACCACTAGATTCAGTCATACAACATATAAAAAGACAAAACGTAATAACTCCTATTGAAAACAAACTCAGAAGACTTGATAATAGTTATCCAGAATGTGTATGGTTCGTTAGCTATATTTCTTACTGATGACGAAGATGCTATTGGCTTTGGCGTAACTTAGTCCGTCGACTCGACCATTAGCCACAAGTTTTGTATGGGGACTAGACATATTATCCGGTTATCTGAACTTGTGACAACCGAAAGTAGACCACTCTACTTCCTAAGTAAATTCCCTTGCAACAATACACTTTTGGTTTTCGACGTTTATTCCAAATCTTTAGTTTTTGACCAATGTTAACACAATCTTTTTAAATGGACTGTACTGTTGACTTTATTTGTGTAAAATTTTGATGAGTCAGTTTGCGCCAACACTAATTTCTACCAAACATTGCATTATCCATATGGCATTTTCTGTTTCTTCATTGCGTCTAGAATTCCCTTCTAATGAACGAAGTCTTGAGTAATAAATCAACTCATTGTATTATGCAAAATCATACGCTGTATTTTTAAAATATGGAAACACCATTTACCCATCTTCCTTGAGTTACCCCTTACAAACTCCACTGTTCTTTCATCCCTGTTGTTACTTTGGTTGCTTTCTAGTTTCCTTCCTCATCTCTTTATTTCCCTATTTTGTCCGTTGGACTTCTTTCACTTCACGGTACAGACTACTTATATATCTCCGTACACGTATTACACGTTAAACACTTATCATTTAATTCTTGTGTTTTGGGTACGGAAGCTTTAAAAGTCCCATTATTGTGATGAACTGAATGTCATTATATAGTAGTTAGGTTGATTATCACTTATAAGGGAAAAGACAATGAATACTTATAAAAATAATGGCGTACACTCGGTCAGAGTTTGGTGTTTCTTGTCATGATTTATAAAACCCAAAAGCGACACGGACAGTGTAATGTCATTGCAAAGCATGAACAGTATATGCAGTCATTCTAAACAGGTCTTCTAAGTTGCTCATTAACAAGATCACAGAATACCTATAATCAATGTGTATGTATGTACAACTCCATACGTAAATATTTGGAATCTAATATCATCCGGCATTCATTTACTTGCTTTCTTATCACCTTCATGTCTCAATATGGAGAAATAAGAAGGGATTTCGAACAAATATGTGCTGAGGTATATATTATAGACTATCTGACACATATGTACTTAAAGTTTCTTACATATTCATATTTCGACAGTATTTAGGTTGAATGAAAGCTAAATCAATACATGACACGGAACAGATCAATTTTTTAAAAGCTAAACACACCAACACGCATTATTAAGAGACACGACAAGAATTTTATAACACAAAATAATTTCTCGAAAAGTATTGTAAATTTAAAATACTAGGAATTTTTCCGCTGAATTTGCTTTAGTTGCAGTTGATTGGCGGTAGTCCACTTATTTGTGTGAATTCACTGCTCGTTCATATATATATATATATATATATATATATATATATATATAAAGTGCATTTAGTATCAATAAACTCACAGTTGCTGCGCGACTATCTCCAAAATGACCAAAGCGATTGATTTCTTTGGATAACTCCCCCCTAGGTACATACTCAAGTACCAAATAAATACGCTTCTTATCATAAAAATAACTGTACATACGAACAATATTTGGGTGTCTAGAATTATTATGAAGAACATAAAACGCCTACTTTAGATGTGACTGTATTTCTATTTCTCGTTGCACTTGTTTCATTAATTCCTTTGTTACTAGTCTAGGCTTCAAAAGTATCTAAAGAATTAGGTCTTCAAGAATGAAAAAAGACCTTCAAAGCAATGACAAATCGACTAGCTTTTTCCCTCGCAAGATGCACTGAACCGAAGCGACCTTCGCCGAGTTTCCTTCCAATATCTATATCGTCGATAGTCCATTTTGATTTTCGTTTCCTGGGGCAGCATAAACCTTACGAGATATTTAAAAATACTTACTTATGGAAATCTGTGGAGGAATTTGCGAAAGTCCTAGACACATGATTTCCAGCATCATGAACATTTGTTGGAGATGAGCAATGTAGATGACTTGGATCATTATCTGAAGGCAACATTATAAAGTTTAACTCCCAATAGCTTTGTGTTTAGCGTGAAGGTGTGTTGAGGTGTGAGGGTCAGTGTGTGAAAGAATCTGGAAATAAAATAACAATGTAAATGTGAACCAATGACTTAATAAGCACAAAGGACTAACTTACGTTTATCAAGAATATCAGCCGATAACAGCTAAAAGTAACACGTGTGCAGAATTAAGACAACGTGACAATCGAAACTAAGTAGTGGCTGATCTTAGTTTCGAGTGGCTTACAACATGTTAAACCATAGAGCCGCCAGAATGTTTCGGCCTTCAGAAAGCGTCAAGGTAGCTAAAAGGACTTAACATAAGCTTTCAAACGGTTGTGAACGGAATGGGAAAAGACTTCACTACTTGAACTTCTATGTGGATCGGCAACTTTTTTATTTAATAGGACTTACTTACATACGCTTGTTATTCCTAATGAAGCATAGGCCACCGACCAGAATTCTCCAACCCACTCTGTCCTGGCCCTTTATTTCCACTTCTATCCGATTTTTGTTCATTCTCCTCATGTCTGTCTCCATTTCCCGGCTTCATGTGTTCTTCGATCTTCCTCTTTTCCTTTGGCATTGAGGATTCCATGTGAGGGCTTGTCTTGTGACGCAGTTGGGTGTTTTACTCAATGTGTGTCCTATCCGCTTCCAGCGCTTCTTCCTGATTTCTTCCTCCACTGGGATCCGGTTTGTTCGCTCCCACAGTACGGCGCTGCTGATAGTGTCCGGCCAACGGATCCGAAGCATTTTGCTTAGACAACTGCTAATAAACAATTGTATCTTCTGGATGATGACTTTCGCAGTTCTCCAGGTTTCCGCCCAATACAGTAAAACTGTTTTGACATTTGTATTGAAAATCCTGACTATGGTGTTGGCTTGTGGACGTCTGTTTTTAGTTCAAAATGTTCTACAGTTGTAGCTATGCTGCATTTGTTGTTGCGTTTTCGAGTTGAATTTGTCAACTGTCCTCCACGCACGATTTTGCAGTTTAATCCATCATAGGAATTCTTTAAGATATTGACTATCTTTAGAGGCACGCCGTAGTGTCGAAGAAGCTTCCTTAGTGTTGTTCTGTCCACGCTATCAAATGCCTCTCTAGTTATCACAGTTGCTGAGATCGCTTCTCCTTAGTATCTTGATGAGGTGTCCTTCTTTCCAGTCTGTTAGTACTTGTTCCTCATCCCAAATCTTATTGAAGAGAATGTGGGGCATGTTTGCAGTTACCGCTACGTCAGCTTTCAGTGCCTCTGCTGGAATGTTGTCTGGCCCTGCTGCTTTGTCACTCTTGATTTGTCTTATGGCCATGCTGATTTCTTAAATTGTTGGTGGGCCAACATTGATTGGGAGGTCCATGGGTGCTGCTTCGATATTGGGTGGGTTCAGTGGGGCTGGTCGATTTAAGAGTTCTTTGGAGTATTCCACCCACCTGTTCCTTTATTCTTCATTACTAGTGATTACCTTGCCGCCCTTGCTTTTCACTGGTCATTCTAGTTTACCCTGATTTCCAGACACTTTTTTGTTGTATCGTACAGTTGTCTCATGTTTCCTTCTCTTGCAGCCTTTTCCGCCGTCATTTTTAAATCTTCCACAAATTTACGTTTGTCAGTTTTGATGCTCCTCTTCACTCGCCTGTTTACTTCTGTGTATCAGCTTGTGCCTTGACTTTTTCTGCTCTTGCTCGACTGGTATTCATTGCTGGCTTCTTGTTCATCCTTTCTTGAATCTTATCCAGTGTATCAACAGTGATCCATTCCTTGTGATGGTGCTTCTTGTGACTCAGGACCTCATGGCATGTTGAAGTGATTGCTTATTTGATCCCCTTCCAGTTGTTCTTCATAGTAGTCTCCTCTCCATTGAGTAGATCATGAAAGGCCTGGAACATTTTGCTGAGGACTATCTTGAATTTGTCGAGTTTGTCAGTATCCTGAAGAAAGGCCGTATTGGACTTTTGTGATATTGTCCGCCCCGTTGTCCAGTACTTCCTGAGTTTCAATTTCATCTTGGCAACCAGCAAGTGATGATCTGATGCTTTATCAGTAAACCCTCTTGGTTCTCACCTTCTCCATCATCCTCCTGAACTTTTTGTTGATACAGATATGGATGACTTGGTTTTGTGTAGTGTGATCCAGCGTCGTCTATGTGGTTTTCTGAATGCGTTTATGTGGAAATATGGTGCTGCCTATGACCAGTTTATTGAAGGCACGTAGGTTCGCAAATCTCTCACCATTTTCGTTCCTTTCTCCCAGTTCGTATCGTCCCATGATGTCTTCATATCCAGTGTTGTCCGTTCCAACCTTGGCATTGAAGTCTCCCATCAGAATGGTCAGGTCCTTTGTTGGGCACTTCTCGATGATTGACTGCAGCCTATTGTAGAATTGATCTTTAGCGTCTTCATTGTAGTCGTTGGTAGGCGCATAGCATTGGATGATGTTCATTGAAATGCCCTCTTTCTTTGTTTTGAACGAGGCTTTGATGATCCTTGGTCCATGAGATTCCCATTCTATAAGCGCATTTAGCGCTTGTTTGGACAGCATCAATGCAACTCCTTGTGTATGTGGTGCATTTTCTTCTTCATGGTCGGAGTATAACAGGAGCTCTCCTGAAGTTAGTCGCTGTTGTCCAGCTTGTGTCCAATGTGTTTCACTGATCCCAAGTACATCTAGGTTGTATCTTCTCATTTCTACAGCAAATTGAAAGCCTCTACCGGTGTCCCACATTGTACGAACATTCCATGTACCTAAATAAATGGTCGGTCTGGTTGTGAGAAGGGGCATCAGCCTCGTAACTTCCGAAGGAATTCAGCTTTCATCATGAGACATCATAGTTCTTCTAAATGAAGATCTTCTGATTCCCAGGCCAAAGCTTAAAAAGTTTGAATACTTTTTTCTAGTTGGCATATTTTTAGCGAGTTAGTTTTCTCCGGGATGTGGTCGCTAACCTCATGCCCAACCCTCCTCCTTCATCCGGTCCTGGGACCGGCAGTAATCCTCGGAGGGACTCCAGGCGGAGTTATTTAATAGGACATACGTATCTAAAAAGAAGCAGTGGTAAGACAAATCTGAGCAAACTAATATTAGATGATACTCCGTGTTGTCAGTAACGTATAAAGTTTTTCTTAAAGGACGTATAGAAAGTTGCCTAAATCACACCAAATGATGGGTACATCCAAAGCTCGATTACTTTTCGGAGGTACTAAGAATACAAAGATTCCATCTTGTTAACTTCCAAGTTCTATTCAACTACCACACTGATGAGTAAAATCTATGTACGCTGTACGTACGATTTACATCACATCACTTATAGACTATTACATATTTTCAGAAAAGGGATTTGTGAGGACGAAATTTGAGTTTCAAGATTGCTTTGCTTACCAAGTTGTCTTGAAAATAAGTGATCGAAAACCATGATGATATCAGTTAGTAGTATTATCCAGAAAACCGAAACATTATAATATTTTGAAACATTTATTAAAGGTTTCATCTGGCTAATGCTTAGGTTAACTCCTGAAATCACTGCGAATTATGAGTTGTAGGTAATGACCTGAACGCTCTCCATTGCCATTGTCATTATCAGCATAACTGTGTGGAGACCATAAATTCAAAGACAGTTGAAGATTTGTTAAACGCCTTTGTCCAGTATTATTGTTTGTCTTTTCTTAGGGCCTACGTATTTGTTCGATGACCCTGCATATCCGGCAGCCTAATATAAGCTTTCAGTCCTAGCTGTCTGGGAAAATAACAATTTTTAAACTTAGGATTTGTCAAAGAGTTAAAAAACCTTACATGAACTGTTTGGTCGGAGCTAAGTATTTTAGGTAATCGAAAATAATATTAGATTGTCATTTACATTCTGACGATTTTGTTGGTTGGGCATATATACGGATTTGGGATGACAAATAAATATTAGTTGCAGGTGCTTGAGGCACAACGAATAGCAGATATGTATCGAGGAGGAACAAGTGACAATGCGTTTATTTATGTATTTTATAAGAATAGCTTTATCGTCAAATGGCCCATATATAAATGACTTTTCATTGAATTAATGATAAATTCAATATTCATTTGCCATATATTTCCTCATACACTGACAACTCAATATTGTTCATTAACCTTTACAATTTAAAGGCTGAATGAACTCAATTTAAATAATTCAAAATAATTCCACCGTGCTGACCCCATTAATGACATAACATTTTAAAATGACTAGTAAATCTGACATCAAAACTAAATGTGAAGATTATCGAAAGGCTAGAAAGAATAGAAGTCATTAGATTTGGTAACTAGTACGTTCAATTAAACCCTGAACTGTAGATAGATATCCCGCTAATTATTCAGACAAACTGGCAGAACAGTCTAAGAAAAAATGCTTACGAAGAAGACAGGGAGATCAACGAAGAAAATATTACAACCCCAAATCTACTCACGTCAACTTTGGTCCTTTTACAAGAACTCCTATCATCATTTCGAAATCGATAGATGACATGGAAAACTAAAATCGGAGCGTAGGACGTTAGGTTTGTGAAATCAAAAATTACTGACGCGACGTTACACGCCTGCTATAATCGCAATCTTATTCACCTGCTATTACTGGCGAACGCCGCATTATTTTCGCGTAACTTTCATTGGTTGTACAGCATAATACAAATAATGAAGCTTACAGACACATTTGTCTTCTTGAGAAATAAAACTCTCCACATCTCCTGGTAATCCATATCAATTTGTTATACATTAATATTCTGCAGGAGTTTTCTGTAAGAATTTATATCAAATTACGTATATTGTTTCAGTCTTTGTGTCAAAGCTTATTGTTTAGTAGAGTTTTGCATTAGCTTTTTAAATGTAATGTATTTTGTATTGAGATCGTCGAAGTTCTTTGCTACAAAAGAGTTCCAATCGTATTACAAGATGCTCACTTATGTTTAATTAATCCAGATCGAGATTCCATCTGAAATTCCTGATGATAATCAATTCTATGATTGATAGAACAT